TTGGAAATGCCGTTAAATGTATAAATATCCTGACCAATAATGTGACAATTGTTTCCTGTTACCAAATGCTTAGAACAGTACAACCGTTCAACCATTGAGGTTCGATTGTGGAAAATATTTGATTATAAGACGTGCAAATAGATTTCTTTTTAGACATTAAGTTTAGAAAGGCAGTCCCTTGGGAAACCTGAGACGCCCCCTGGGGCGCTGTTGGCTCTCTTCCACTCTGCTCGGCTCACTGGATGCTTCGGCACGCGTGTGGCGCCTTCAGTTTGTTTATTTTCTTAATTTCTTTTGTTTGTTAAAGTATCAGTCCGTTAAGTTACACTGGACTAATTCAGGAACGACCAAGTTCCATTTTAAGCCTTTTTCGTCGAGCCAACTTCACCGAGGTCAGACCAAGCCACGTGGTCTCGCCAGCTACAACGAAGGAAACCTGAAAACAGCCGAATTGCCAGACGGAGGAGGCGTTTTCAATCAGATACGGAGAACCCTGGAGAATCCCTAGCAAAAAGCCAGGATCGGCAGCTAGCGTGGGACCCGTGCAACAGGCCAAAAGCAGGCTGTCGACAAGCAGTAAGACTTAACACACGTTCTGTGATCAGATGTCCATTTTAACTCCTAAATTATAGCATTAGCTCTTCTATGCCGTATGAGTCAAATGCTTCCCACAATCGAACCTCCAGGCACATTGTTCAGCAAATGTTTATGTTCCCTGTATCCAACCATCTTTTATCACCTTAGTTACAGAATAAATTCACTGTAATATAATCAAGAGCTGTGTGTGTTGCCTATTTATAGTTCCTGCCAAGAGAATTGACCCTTTAGATATGAGACTGACTGACTGATTTAAGATAATTGAGCGATTATTAACTAACTGATCACTAGTAATAATTGTATAATTATTCAAAACTACCTAGAGGTCCGGAGACTCTAGGATTATAACAACTCCGGTGGTGCCCTGAAACGAGGAATAAATTTTGATTTTATGAATCTTAAAAATTCATAATTGGGTATCAATTCTCATAAATTTATTAAATTGCATAAATAAAATTTAGGTCTGCTACACAACGTTGCTTAACACAGTAGCAGCTGGAGTTTCACATTGCTGCACTGCTGTAGCTGATGTTTCAATCAATCAGATGTAGAACTGCTCACGGTTGAAAGCTTTTTGCTGATCACACAAAGTTTAAAATGGATGACAATATTACTTGCATCTTTGACTATGACACAATAATGGCAATACTTAACAGTTGTGAAAAGAACACCTATCTCCCTCATTCTCCATTCTTCCTTTGGCAGCTGACTTAACAACCACAACTAATGATCTGCTGCTGACCTGCCGCACAGTCGCACGTTCACGGCAAGGATGGTGCGTTTAGTAACGCAGTAACGCAGCGTCACTTGGATTAGTAACTAATAACATTACTCTTTTGGATATAGTAATCCATCACACTACTAGTTACTGGGAAAAGTAATATTATTACAATAACGATTTACTGAGTAACACATTATTGCCCAACACTGGATATCACTTTTGATGAGAAGGTAAGGCTTATTTAAAATCTAGTTTTAATTTATTTAAATTTCACTCACACCTCCCTGTAAAACTAGTGGAATCAGACTGATGATGATGATGAACTTATAATCAAAGCAATTAATTTGAGGTTTTCTGGTGTACAGTGTTGTACTATGAGAGAGGATAAGCCTTTCAATTCAACGCATTCATATACACAAGTCCTCCGTGATATCAACTTCATAAAAGCCTCTGTCATTTCCCTATTAGCCGCTGTGGATTTAGAAAAGACCACACAAAGGCAAACACAGTCAATTAGCTTTCTAGCGAATTAATATGTGCAATCATCCTGGCTTACATTGTGTTTACCTTACGTGATATGCCACTAAAACTGTACAGCCCAGCACTGTCTCTCATAGATATTTTCACTGAGGGGGATGGGGACAGCAATCTCTTTGTTTCTCTAATGTTTAAGTAGGCAGTCATCTTGGATGCATATTAAAATATCTGACAACAGGAACAGCCTGGAAATGACAATGCCAAGTGATGCTACCTTCTACAGTATTCACATTTGGAATGGATCTGTCTCCGCCCGGGTGGAGGAATTGGCAAAGAAATATTAGCATATTCTCTTGTAAAAATAAATAAATCTGTAAATCATGCATACACTCTATCGATTGAGATTAATGCCCAAGCTTATGAGAATGAGCTCTAAAACAATAACCCATTACATTGGGTAATAGATCATTTGAAAAATCTATAGCAATCCTTTCCTCAGACAAGAATTAATGTCTCCAGGGGCCATAATTCATAAACTGCTTGGAAAAGTAGTTGGCATTTTTTCAAGACTAAGAAGTTAAAATGCAAAAAGAGGAAAATCCTACTGACCTGTTATTTAAAGTCACTGGACTTACCCTGTTGTTTCACAAGGCCATCCTGGATGACCTGTCTAATGTGTGGTAGTTGAAGCAAATTTCTTTCGCCCAGATTTTGCGTTCTCAAGGCAGCGATCAAATTCCAAATGTGGGCCACATCCTTGGAGGGTGCTGGAAAACATGCTGATGACCCAGCAAGTGATATTACACTGCCATAAAAATCTCAATCATGTCTGACCATGTGTGATGATGGTAAACAGAGTTCAGAAGTTCAAACATCGCTATCATGTTCTATTGCTCCTGATGTGTGTTTCAACTTCTATTAAAATTAGCTTACAAAAGAAACAGCAGGGTCGAGGACAGCCGGACTGCATGAGGATGAAGAGAGCTGAGCTAAGTGGCATCATTTGGCAGGAGGCAGGCTGGGATTTCAGACTTCTGCAGACAACAACATTAGTATATCCAGTATGTCAACATACCCTGCAGGCACAAAGGTCTTTCGAAATCTGCACGCAGGTCAGACACTTTAATCATCAGAGGGGGAGATAGACAAACACAGACTCCATATCAAAAGTGGACACTAATAACTTCCTGTCAAAGGTTGGACTGGAAATAATAGTAAATATGATTATAATTAAGCAAAATTCTTGCTTGGTTGATAGATATCTGGAGGGAGTTGTTGGATTTGTTGGAAGAAATTGCTCTCTTATCCTTGTTGCTGTCATGTTGTGTGTGTGTGTGTGTGTGTCAGTATGTGTGGGCAAGGAGGCTCTGTCAGTCTCCTTCAGAGGCACAGACAGAGATGAGACTGACATGGAGGACAGAGCAGACTGAGCAACAGAGAAAAAACTAGTCTTGCCAATAGTTCTTGACAACAACACCAGACTGCAATGCATTGCGAGAACCATGTGTTGGTACTTTATGTAGCAGCAAGCAACTGACATCCAAACTGATTTGATGGCCAAGTTTGAGTTGATGAATTGCAAATTGACTGAACCCAAGAAATCGTTTTACAAGAGGAGAACTTCGTGCCAACTTGCCAAGTTGACTAGAATAGCTGAGAGAGCAAATGAGAGATTTTGTGTAGTATGAAATCAATAGTTTAACATGCACATGTAAATTCTTTGTATCTTCTTTCTAATTAAGCATGTCACTCAGCAATGAAGGATGTAAGTTTCATATTTGAAGAAAGCATGATAGTTATGAATGTTACTTTTAAAGTAATTTAAAGTCTAGAATATTTGTCTTATTTTTTGTATTTCTTCATTAAACATTTAGGTTCTTTGATATGAACAGTTATTAATAATTTGTATAAATCTGTCTGAATGCCTCTTCAACATAGCTTTAATCTAATCTAATTTAGCATAAATGAACACCATGCACCAAATAGAGCAGAGGCCCTCTCAGAACCAATTTTTGATATTCATCAGCCTGTCTTTACTTTTTCATATCTTAAATTTCTTGATTTATTTTTTTTGGCTTCATACTATTGTAAGATTTATTTTGTACCTTAATCACCATTTTACCTTTCTGGATTATGTCACAGAAGAATCATACCTTGGGTAATTATATGTAGCTCATTTGCTTGTGGGGGTCTGTGTCATTTGTACTGATATGATGATTGTATTGGGTTTCTGCTGGTCCAAAGTGGATGATACATATGTTCAACCTATTAACTTTACTGTCAGTTTGCTAGTAAGGATCCCAGGGAGCACACCAAATGGTAAATGGTCTGTACATGTTTAGCACCTTTCTAGTCTTCCGACAACTCAAAGCACTTTTTTACACTATGTCACATTCACCCACTCACACACATTCATATATTGAGCCCAACTGCACAGAACAGAAACTAACTTTCACATGGATTCACACATTGGGGGCAATTTAGGGTTAAGTATCTTGCGAACTATTTGACCACTACCAGTGGTAGTATTTGGTACTACAACTGATGGTCAAATCATACATCAGGATCAGGAGAGCAATGCCATTCTCATATGTGTGTATCTATTAATCTTGCTCTTAAAAGGTCTTTAGATTTAGGGGGATCTATTGGCAGAAGTGGCAGAAATAAGTATAAGTATGTTCATTAGTGTATAATTCCCTAAAAATAAGAATTGTGTTTTCGTTAGCTTAGAATGAGCCATTTACATCTACAGAGAGCGCAGGTGCTCTTCCAACATGGTGAACTGCCGTATTTCCCAAAATGCTGAACTATTTCTTTAATGCTCACCTAATGTATAACTAGTCAATTTAATATTTGTCAGTAAATAAGGAATCTGTCTATGACAAGTGGAACTTTCTGTTGGTGGAAAGTGTTGCTAACTCAGTCTCCATAGGTACATCATTCTGGAAATTTAAAATCCACTTACACTTCGTCATAACCTCATTACTCAAGAGTGCATTCTCTTCATATACAGTAAATAGTGCTGGGCAATGATTAAAAAAAATGTAATTGTGACACAAGCGGGGAGGTGACAGGTGGTGTGTTGTGTGGTTGTGTTTGAGTTTATTTTGCCCCTTTTTCTGAGCATGTGAGAGGTGCTTGGTGGGTTTTGGTTTTGTCTGTCTGTGTGTGGCCTCTGTCTCTCTTTCTCCCTTCCTCTCGCTCATCCATTCCTCCCTCTCCCTCAGGGCAGAGTTGTGGGATGCACCACTGGGCGGTTCTCCCCAGCTGCAGGCAATCTGCTGTTCACACACCTGTCTCCTGTGATCATCAGGACTGGCTTTTATACTCTGCCATCTCCTCACTTCCCTGCTGGATTATTGAGTCATGTTTGTAGGTGACAGTACGACCAGCTTTAACCTACTTCCTGACACCTTTGTGCCTGTTACTGATTCTGTTTTCCTGTGCTCTGCTTTAGTGTTTCTGGAGACCCTGCTCAGCTTCCGTGCCACTCTGCCTACGGAGGATGCCTTGCTGGAAACTCACCTGCGTGGACTTACGTCTCCGTCAGCTCCGCCTCACCAGCATCACCTGACCTCACCCTTACCTGCCATTCCATGCCACACCAGAGGAACCATTCCCCTAGCATCAAGCCTGTTTCACCATATCTTGGGTTTCAATAAACTGTGTAAAAATTCTCCTAAGCTGTCTTTGTGTCTGGATTTGGGTTCTGAGCCACAAAATACCTGACAGATTAACAGAATGATTCAGTGATTTATCGTGATTTATTGCATTGTTATGTGCAAAATTCAATAATGAATTCTTAATGTACTGCGCACATTTCATTTAAATGTACTGCTATATATGCAAAAGTGCAATCACGTGGTTTGCAAACTTAGAAACGTAAGGTGTTTTTACCAGTAGTATTCCCTATACACAGTAGCAATATTTCTTGTAAATCTCAACTTAAATATAAAACCAAAGCTGTTTATCACTGCCAGGGCATAACATTTTCTAGCTTGTTAAAACAAGTTACCATCAGAGCCACAATCATAACATAACAGGCACCTTCTGAGCAACAGGTTAACATAAATCTATTTCTTTTTCTTTTTCTGAACAGGTATCAGCAGAAACATGCTACTAATACTTAAAGTCAAAAGCAGCAAAGGATGACCCACATGTGGATGTGTATCTACAGAAACAGAAGCTGTATTTCAGAAAGTGCCACATGGTGTCACTCTGAGTTTTTCAACAGAGCCAGTCTTTTGCTATTCAGACTCACTTGATAAATAGCTGGATTGACTAGAGGCCAAGGGCATGTTATGAACAGAAGAGAATGTGCTAAGGAACATATGTCAGAGGCAATAAGCATCACCTATAACGCCAACGTATCCAAGTATATGCTTAATTCTACAAACCTAGCCGCTGCCTAATATGGAAGACATGCCACACAATGAACATCTACACCAGAAACACCAGTGATTCTACTCATGCAGGGCTTCTGCTTTTCTGTTGGCAGGAACAAACTAAATCCCTTGAATAATGTCATATAATCAATAAAAGTCAGTCTCAGTTATTTTGGAATGGCAAAATGCAGGTTCACCTTGAGCACATAGATATAGTGAAACCTTTTATGCAGCTGATATATTCTGCTTTAAAAGTCAGCTGTTTGAAGTCAGTCATGGTTGAAAAAGGAGAAAACGGAGTCACATTGGCTCTTTAAAATAAAATCCAAAGACAATATCATTACCTTCACCTTTTAAATTATACTGTACATTACAAAGTGCTCCTGAAAATCTTCCACATGCTCAACATGCAGCATGTCTGTGGGAGTACATCTCATATATGCTTTGAACACAAGGACATCAATCAGAGCACATGCATATGTACTTCAGGGCAGCTGTCAGTCTACCACCTTATAATATACACATAAACACGCCTACATGAACACATGTATACAAACACACACACACACACACCTACCTCTATGGCTTGTGATGCATCAGGACTGTTGATAGATGAAATAGATGCAGATGGGCTAACACATTTATATCAGCCTTCTCTTCTCTCCCTACTTCCAGTTCTCTCTTTCTTAAACTCATTCATCAGTCAACATGGAAATTTCACTCAGCATCATCAGGCAGTCACAATATTTACTGTACAGAGGTGACATGCAAGTAGCACCACATCTGCCCCCCAACTCCAGTCAGTACAGGAACCAAACTGATTTCTTCAGCCCATTTCATCCAAACGACAACTACGGGACCTGGTGTGCCATTAAAATCCACACCAAATCACCTGCTCTTGCAAAAGGAAAAAAAAAACTGGTCTGAGAGCTTTTCATGCAAGCCACTGAGTGGTAGATGAAAATAAATGCACAACAGGACATGAAAATCCAAACTGGTAAATGCTTATCTTTTAGTGCAAAACCCCCCCAGACAGTCCTATTCTTGTAGTCATTTTCAGTCACAAGGAATACAATGCAACAACAAAACCACTGAAGCTGAATCTACCTGACACCATTTGGGTGTCTGTTATGTGCAAATATGCCAATGGGGTTTGCCATTGTGCATCGGAAACACTGAAGATGGATGATTGGTAGGCATTGCCAGAAGAATTCAGCAAATTGGGAAACAACAACTCTTGCAGTAATGAGAACAGATATTTATTGGAAACACTTCGTCTTAAGATGTGGGCTTCAGGGTTTTTGAAACAAATTATTAAAAAGCAGCGAATTTTTTAAGTCTCACTGAATTCCATATTGATACATTGATAAGAGCCATACAAGATCAAAGGATAGGATGTGATAATGAAGACAAAGACGGTTTGCACACTCTTGTGTGTGAAAATGACTTTATCCAGCATTTTGACCATGTAACGCATGAGGTTATCAAGGGTGGAAAGCTTTTTTTGGTTGTTTTTTTTATGTGAATAAATCATTAAACTCAGTAAAACATACAGTATCTCACAAAAGTGAGTACACCCCTCACATTTTTGTAAATATTTGTTTATGAAATGACACTTTGCTATAATGTAAAGTAGTGAGTGTACAGCTTGTACAACAGTGTACATTTGCTGTCCCCTCAAAATAACACATCACACAGCCATTATTGTCTAAACCACTGGCAACAAAAGTGATTATGTATGAAAAAAACAAAAGAGTTATAAAAGGGATTTAAAGTTAAAACCCCAGTTGCATCGCCACTAGGGCTGGGTATCGTTTAAAATTTACCAGTACGATACCAGTATCAGAACCAGAACCCTTAAGTGCAATTTATACTTCTGCGTCAAATCGACAGCGTAGCCTCTGTGTAGCCCCCTACCATACACCGTCACCTACGCCGTAGCCTGACCTGAGCCTCCTCAAAAATGTAACTACACGTCGAGGTGAGTAGACCGTAAGCACTTTGACTGGTCGGCTGGGTAGCCTTGCAATGCCTCCGAGCCGACAGGAAGTGCTCTGTGCTTTGAAGTAACTTTTACTAGCGGCCAAAACAGCGGCTGTAACACAGTGGATCAGTATATTTGACCGTCACAACCTGAGTGAAATGACTTGTTTTACTATCAGAATGTGATCCATTCGGTCGTTAACATTTGAAAAGGCTACGCCAGCCACACGTTTACAATTTTACCCCCATTCACGTGCGTAGCCTACGGCCGCACGTAGACCTTACGCAGGAGTATAGATCAAACTTGAAAGTAATACCGATACCAATTGTACTTCAATCGATACCTTGCATAAAATGTCACCTGTTGAAGCCATAGTAGTTGATTGTTTTTTTTTATTGTTGTAATGGACAAGCAAGGTTATCTATTTTATTCTCCTTGTTTCAAATAACTGCTGCATAAAAAGTATTGGGAAATTGTATCAAATCACTCCTCGTCCTAATTATCATCCTCATTGGTAGTATTGGCCTATAAGGGGAAAAACTACAGCTTGGGAGTTAATTTATATTTGAATGAGGAGTGAAATAGTTCAGTGACCAAATAAGTTGTGGGAAACGAATTTAAGGTATTTTTTTGATACGCGTGTTGAAAGTAAACAACGGAAAATGATTTGTTAACTTTCGATCAATAAACTGAATAAAAAGATCTCCGTGCTTTTTCCTTTATTGGTGACTCTGGTGAGTCGCAAACCTCCGAAAAGACGACAATCACAAGTATAAAACAAGAAAGGAGTCTGTTTAAACAAGTAACTGTCACACTCTGCCTGTCAGCCATGCCGTGTTTTGTTATTTTGGTCTAGCTGCCTACTGAGAAGCATCCTCCTGTCCTGCCCAGCTAGCGCTGCTAGCCCTCCGCCTGTCCTGCCTGTAACCTGTTTGGCTAGCATGGCTACCCATCTGCCTGATCCACGGCCTGCTAGCGCTGCTAGCAACCCGCCTGATCATCCCCCTCCTGTGTTGGCTCCAGCATCCAGGCTGGTTGGGGACTCCTGGACATCAAGCTCTCTGGTCTCTTTTTTGATGGACTTGGCGTTAGAGCCAGAGAGCCCAAGGACTGCTAGTCCCCAACCAGTAAGCCAACCAGATAGGTGTCGGCCAGCTAGCCCAATGCCTGCCCTGCCTGATTCCCGCCCAGCTAGCGCTGCTAGCCTCCTGCCTGATCTCCTGCTGATCCCTGCTCCTCGTGCCCCATCGGTGGTCCGACCAACACCAGCTCTGTTGGTGGCCCAGCCGACTCCTGTTCCTCGTGCTCCGTCGGTGATCCGACCGGCACCAGCCGGTGGTCCTGAACTCTGTTTCCCCGCCCTGCTCGTTAGCCCCTGGTGTGTATATATGTTTGGTCTTTCTCTTCAGTCTTCATCCGGTCATTGTAGCGTGTTTACGCTCTGTCCCATGTTGCAGTGTATTGTCCTGTTTAGCCTGCCTTGCTCGTCTTGTCACCCTGTTTCCGTGGATTTTGGATTTCTGTTTGGATTACCTTGTTTTTTGGACTCTGTTAATCAGCCACTCTGCCAGTGAGTGTGCTCGCCTTTTGTTTGTTGGAATAAATCACTTTTGAACTGTACCTCCTCTGCTTTGCGTCCTGCGTTTGGGTCCTCCAACCTGCCCTACCCTGCCTCACTACACAAATCGTGACAGTCACTTAACTACACTAAAGATACAAACAGAAGAATAGAGAAGCTGTACGTCTAGCTGATCAAACCAACTACACCTGAAGCAGCCGCAGCCGGAGGCTCCGCGAGTAAAATCAGCTGATCGCTGCCGTGCCTGACCGATCAGTGACGAGTGATGTAAATAGCAAATAAAAATGCACAGAAAATTGTTAAATGATCCCAGATGATGAAACCAACTGAAAGCCAAGCTTGTGGTGATAAACTTGCAACAGTGACAAACATGCCTGAGACCGCAGCCAAAGGTGAGTGGCTGTTAAAATCAGAATCAGAAGAATCAGAAGGAGCTTTATTGCCAATTAGTGTTTTACACATACGAGGAATTTGCTTTGGTGATAAAGTGCTACACGTAGAGAAACATACAGTCGACATAAATAAATGTAGAAATATATAAATATGGAATAGAAGAACAACGTTGCAGATATATACATGTGCACTGTTCTGGGTCTGTGCCATGCAGAAATAATGGAAGAGAATATTGTGTAAATATAAATATATAAACTGACAACATAAAAATAAACAAAAACAATGATCAACAATCAATAACAAATATGTGCTACGTGCCAGGTCTGTGCACGACCCA